CCTTTTTAACCAGTCGGCTGGGCGCGCTACACTTCTCTAACCGCTTTCCTTTTTTCGCCTTATGAGGAATTAGCATAAAAACTTGGCAGAAAAAAAAAGCAGTTCGATAATAAGTAACTTATTAGACGTTTTGGTATGAAGTATCGCTGAGTAGTTTTACTTGTTATTATTATTTTGACGGGTCCCACGGGCTCGACAAAATACGACACAACTCGTATAAATACTCAGCGATAGTACTCACCAAAATGTCTAATAAGATATATTTACTCTCACTTTGTTAACTCATTCTACGCTTTTGTCATATTGAATGCGATTATTGGATGTTAATTAAACCAAGAATATTTTGATTCAAGTCGAAAAAAGAGTCAGATACCTACATTCGTGGAAAATTTTTGATGGCACATTGTGGTTGGAAATTTAAAAAAAATTGTTCTTCACTGTTCATACGAGAATAGATAGCATTTGAAACTAGCAACGTGTTTTAATTTACTTTTTTATCTTTTGATCTAAGGGTCATTTTCGTGTGATAAATTAGAATATATATTACTGTGAATTTTTTCAAGGGATCACATTTTATAATACGGTTCAGTTTTTGACACAATCGTAAACGACTGAGAGCATCTCGCCATTTGAGAAAGTTACAAAGTTCACTTTCTCTTTACACTCCTTTTTGCAAAGAGGTATCTCAAAGAAATAATTATAAATAAGACGATAATCAAATTTCTTTAAACACTGATTGTTTGTAGTTTTTTCCTTCTCTAATTTTGCGCTGCTTATCATAGGCCGATCTTGCCTCGTATTGACGGTACTTTTCCCTGAAGAGTTCATCATCCCATGGAGTGGAGAGACTGGTGAAACCCTAGGTCTTGCTTGCACTTGTATGCTAGAGTTCATCATTAATGCGCACAGCACCATGCAGAGTAACTGAACAAATGCTTGAGGAACAAAAATAGTTAATTAAAATTATAATCCTTCTAGTCTCAAATAAGCGTTTTAATTCTGTTTTCGGCAAACTGAAAGATGTAGGAATTGAAAAATTGATCACTCGAGTGACCATCCGAGAAAGTAACCAAAAGACAATTTGTGCGGAAAGATAGCTCATCAGAAAGCAATATTTCAGTTCTACTGATGTTGTCAACTGCTTTCTTTTCTATTAGGGCTGGAAAAGCAAAGCGGATAAAGAAGCGTAGTGCGCGCAGCTGGTTAGTTAAACAGGTTTTTTTACGGTACAAAGTAACCAACTGTACGATGTCGCAAGATACTTGTACTCTGTTTGCGCGTATTTATACTCTACTTTGTGCTGTCGGACAGAGATGAAAATTTAAGAATATGCCTTAAAAGGCACAATAAATTCAACTTTTATTACCATTTGTTTTGTTGCTGAAGTTGTACTTTTTTCGTCGGAGCAGACAAGAAATAAAATTGCGACGAACACTAAGTTACATATTCAGTTCACGTTTTGGTAGACTCCAAAGTACGTCTAACCGCAGGAATATTGATCATATAGTGAAAGGTAACAAGGAGGACCAATACACAAAAAAGAGTGGGTTGTTTCATCGTGAACTGATTGTTTTGATCGTTTCACATGTAATCAAAGTGATCTAGCAACTTCAAGAACCTTTTGTATCAGCCTCTTAGCTTAACTTAATCGATGACTCTGTTCCTCTTTTCTTGGGCACTTGAGTTCAATTGTGCGTGGCACTTATTGTCTTCTAATTCTTGTACAGTAAAATTCTTATGTCAGGTATCCACCTCGGGGAAGCCCCAAATTATTCCTGTTTCAAGGTTTTCAGTGGCTTATGCTTTCTCAAACAGAGCAGATACCTAATGACAATATAAGTTCTAAAGATTGTGTTAATTTCCATTTCGGAACATGTGCATTGAGTTTCCACAAGAAACATTTTTGACGATAAATAATCAACTAACTCACAATATATCCCGTGCGTGTCTTGCTAAATCATCGTTTCGGTAGTTTTGACTCGAAACCGTCAGCTGTCTCTATAGCTACAAATTTGCTGAGCCGGTTAATTCTTTTTTCGGCCAAATATGATTTAAAAAATACCGTGTAAATCATAGAGGGAAGACAAAGAACTTTGTGCACCAATATCGGCTAAAATTTGGACTACAAATTCAGTCGACGACCACAGCTTTCACTAACTGGATCGCCGAGAACTTGAAGTCATCAACAAGCAGTTACCCAGACTTTGAATGATGTCCTTTAAAGCTCTTTTTGTGGTAATTTCAGAGTGTATTTTGGACAATTAATTTTCTTTAGACAATTAAATTTATTTTGAAGTTAGATTACTTCTTTTAAATATTGTTTTCACTCTTTTTTCCTAGTACAACAACCGCTTAAACTAATTGACAAATTTGTTAACTAGAAGCGTTAGGTAGGCTTGTCTAAAACTCAGTCGGAAGATACAATTGTAACTATTCAATGATAGCTCTAAATCAGAGGTCGTGAATTTTATCTAATTTAATTTTAATAATTTTTAATTTTAATTTTTGAAGTTTGAACTAAGATCAAGGCAATTGAGTAATTTCTGTCAAACGCTCTTACTGTTTCATCATTCCCTTTCTCATTGCATCATTCTCCGTGGGCAAGAAGACATGTTTGAATCTTTTAATTGATTTGATGCCAAATGTTTAGCAATTATGGTAGAGGTAAACAGAAAAATTGTTTTAAATCAGTGTCTCTTGTTTACACACAAAAGTATTCCCACCTCAGAGATATACATTTGTGTTTATCGGGCTGAGAAAACGTACACAGACACAAGACAAACGCAGATGAATGGAACTAAGAGGCCTTGAATGAACCGAGGAACAATTCTTGAGTTTGCAACCGAAAATTGATGCCGAAAAAGTGTTAAGTGTTAAGAGTGTTAAACAAAACGAAAATGTGGCCGTTACTAGACTGACGTGTCTCACTCTCTTGAGGGCTGTAAAGTATCAAAGCTAATCCAACTATTCGCAGTGCACCAACCACAACCACTTTTCCTAAGATCTAATTTTAATTCAAGTATCATCACAACCTACAAAATACAGCTGCTCAACAATTAGCAAATCCACATGTATTAACTTTTGTAGCTAATGAAAGTTATGACTAACGGAAGATAAGCTAATTTGCCTCCACCACTCAACCGGGCACACAAAGTGTTGATATCTGGGCGCCTTGGCCAGCCAAGCCACCGATACGCTAACAAGAGTTTATTATAATTACGATTGAAGGAAACTAAAGATATATAAATCTTCCTTTTTTCCTGAGCCCGCCTGCTGCGGGCTTTGAGCCTACTATTGTAGGCCGCCCGCCGTTTCTACCAATTTTGCTTCTTTTAAAAAAACATCGATTTGATTTCTTATCTTACAAACGAATTAATTTATGCGTTGATCAGCGAACGGTATAGCCTCGCTGACTCATACTCTTTCTTTCGTTTGCAAAATAAGAGATCCAATCGCTGTTTTTCCATCCTATTTGAGAAATAAATCATTACATCTCCATATTTTTGCTCCCTTGAACCGACAATTGAGATGAATAGCTTCTTTCCAAACTAATAATACCAGTGAATTTGTTTTAGGAGCTCATTTGGGAGTCATTCCGGAGCCTTCTTTGCTTTATCCACTTCCCTGCTGGCTTTGTACTTTGACTTAAATCTTTAAATGTCGATCAAGTCTCGAAAAACACGTTTTCATAGCCTTTGATTCGGCAACTGACAAACTTACGACATGAATCGTTTATCTACCAGATGAACTCCTGGACATACGTTGCGGCTGTTAAAGCTTCAAAAAAAATCATGGTGAGTCCGATCACAAATGATTTCAATATATTCCTTAGTAGATACTCTTTCCGTCGTAGTCTGTTGTTCTTATCGGACATGTAACATAGCCGGTTTTGAGAAGTATCCCTATTATCAACATGTCTTATCGATCGATCCTTTGGAAAAATGATCAAATTAAACAGACTTCGAGAAGGTAAGCACTGCTTCAATAACACGTATAACTTACAATCACTGTTATATAACTTCACCTCCTAAACTCCTTTCATATGTTTTCCCTCTTTTAAAAGCAACCATAGAAATCTCACCATGAGGGGTTGAGGGGGGAGGGGCTGAGCTGATTCAATATTCTGACCTTCTTTCATTCTGAGCCTTAAAACGTCAGAATTTGTTAGCAGCGTAAAAACTTCGGTTTCAACGCAAATTGGTTTTCGTGACTTAGTGCCCTACAAAAGAAAGAATATGCATATTTTGATGTTAGAAAATGAATCTTCAGCTTTTCCGTTTCAACTTTTTTGTCACTGCTGAGGACAACCGTAGGAGATCTAAGTTTCTCTTCAAAGATTATATTGGAGCGGATGTAAATAATAACAAGTGCAGAGCAATAAACTTAAGACCCTTTTTATGATGAGGATATGATTTCTGACGCAGTCGATTGATCATTTTAACAGCGAGATTAACTTAACCTTTGGCATTCATATGAACTGGACCGGGATTCTAAACTTTACCGCTTAGAAAACTCAGTTCCAGGTCTCAAAATTTCTATAAAACATCTCGTTTAAACTCAGAAAATGACTGAAATCACATTTTACTTGCCATCCTATGAGATAAAGGAGATGAGAACAAACTCCTTCTCTAAAACTGATTCCAGGTGTCTTTAAGTTTTAGCGAGTAAAAGCTTACACCAAAATACACACAAGCAAAATTAACAAAAAACAAATAAACTTTATCCAAACCATTTTTTTTTAAAAAGGATTGGACAGATTTTATTTACTGAAGTGAAAAAGAACAAATGTTAAAGTTCAGTAGTTGTACTTTAATACACCTATTCCCTGGTATGAAATATAACTAAGCACTATTTATCGAGCCAAGGTAAACAACGAGACAGGTTGAGTTCAACAGTAAAGAAACAGTTTGTCGCAATACAACCTTAGCCTTATAACTAGCAACTCCGACCTTTTAGAAATATTATTGCTTCCTTGCTTCATTAATGTTGTTCTATTCATTTTAAATTGCCAAAATATATGCAACTTGAACGTCTCGCTCCTCCCATAGCCAATAATCGCCGCATTTCCTGCGAAGAAGCCTCACGGTGTATGAGACCGCCTTGCAACGGACGTCGCAGCCACTGCATGTGGCATTGGAGACAAACCTCGGCACTGTGTCTATAAAATCTATCACTACGTACGTGAAAGGACATTTTCCAGAATAAATCGACCTCTTCTTTTGGGATCCTTGGTCTTGAGTTGGAGGGTTGGACGGAGGAACGATCATATAACCACGTCGATGAATGAACCTAAGGATGTCATCCGAGGACGTTTTGTTTGAATCCATGCCAAGGCAAGTGGCAAGGCTGCTCCAATTTTGACTGCATAGCAAACTACACACCGCGACACAGGAAGTCAGCAATACTAAAACCTGAATTTAAAGATGATATGGACATGTAAACCGAGTTTAAAACCATGACCCTATCTAACAGAACGTTGAACTCTCAAAGAAATGTGTTAGTATTATTGCTATGCTTTTCTAATCAACCAGAAAGCTTTGGAAAATAAAAACTTAACGTTGCAACATTGTTTAAAATGACTCGCCGGCGATTAAGTGATTTCCATACAACTTGTGAGTTTCGAAAGAAGTTGGCGACTACTTTAATGTTGCTCTAATTCCCTTTTTGATTGGCTTTAGGAACTCATTACATATTCAACAACTCATCTGAAGCACCAAACCAGTTGTTTCTCTTGCCCTTGACAATAGTATTTTGAGTTATCCATTGACTTCTTCCTCTCTCGAGTGGTGATTCCAATTGCTCTGGTTTCAGTTTTCTGCCGCTTTTCAAAAAGCTATCTGTGTTTCAGGCTTGATGCTGGCTACATCGTACTTTTAAGGCCGTGTTATCTCTTCTTTTATACATAGTTGTTTAATCCTCTCTACTGGTGCTCAACATCCAAAGGTGTACACTTAATCAGGGTGCTTATGGAATAATATACAATTTTGTGATAATGAAATAGGAGCCGTTTCAAGAACCATGCGTTTTAGAGGACGAGCAACCACCTATCAAATATGGCCAGCAATGAACATGTTCTAAATTGATTTCGGCCCAGAGAATTAAATGCGCTAAATCGGTTATTTGGCTTGACTGCATCTTTGGTTACTGCCAGAAAATTTGGATAGATAAAAATCAAAACGAAAAAAATATACCTAGAATAAATCAGCTTCCATATCTAAACCATTGTAAAGAATTACGCCTGAACACAACTTACCGCAAGTTTGTACATGGTTGTATGTATTTCTTTGTTTCTTAGCAAAGACTTGCAAGTGACATCTGTCTAAGCTGGGCAAAGCTTATATAGCCCTAAGTTTCGAGGCACAGCTGAAACGATACTGTAACCAAAGTGGAATTTTTCGATAAAATGATCCTATTTCTAAATCTAGGAAAGTTGCAATATCAAAGCTATAAGTACTCTGAGTATACATGCCAATCTTTAAATTTGGTGACCTTCAAAATATGTTTACAAGATATTCCTACAGTGATTTTTATCTGCAAATATTACAAGATCAATACCAGTGAACCCCGAGTGGCCTGAACTGTTCTGGAACACAGAAATAGAGTGAAAGCCTTAATGTACATGTACCTTGAATAGGTTTGATTCCTTTAGCCACATCTAAAGTAGCACAAAACTTCTAAAGTAAATAAGCATTTCCGAGTATGTAGTTATTCTCCTTCTACCGTTTCTGAACACTGATTTCAATCAGCGTGGGTATTTCAGTCTCTAAACCACAATAACAAACAACGCGTCGAAGAAAAGTTTAATGATTCTGTATCAAATAACAATTGTATCTGCTGCACTGGCAGAGGCATTGATAATGCAAGCGAACTCGATCTTCTGCGGGAGTCTCCTCACCTGTATCGGTGTAGCAAGCCATTTCTTCCCTGCCTTATTAATTTATTGTGTTGACGTGGCTAACAATGTAATCTCTCGACCCTAACCATTATTTCAAGTTTCGTTTTAGAGGTGTTACACAGGCGGTATTCATTCATTCCGTGTTGAAGCTCAAGGCAAAATATAATATCTGATCCTCTCAACCGATATCACCACAAACTCTAACGATCTTAGCATCCATTCATTTTAAGAATAGCGAAGAAGAACTCAACCCTCCTATTTGAGAGAAACCACGATCAGATTTGTCTTTCTCATTACATATTTTAAATCGTTTAAGTGCTCTGTCTCCCTTCAGGGAGTCACAACATTCTTATATTGATATGAATTCCTGAAGAAAAAGAGTCTAAAAATATATCATCCATAAATGTTCACAGTAAACAAAACATATGATAATTAATTCAGTTGAAATTTAAGTGGTTGTAAGTTGATGTTGTTAATTTAGGTCAAGAGTTTTCCCCTTTGAACCAAAAACAAACCGAACATGGGGATACTCGTAACATCTTATTAATAGAAAAAGAGAAAATAGAAATCATGAAAAAAATATATGATATATTTTAAAGTAATTTTAAATATTTTTGACATCTCAGACGTTGGGACCCCAAACAGTTCCGTGCTGCGAAGCCATTCGATAAAATCTTCAGACGTAAATTTATGACGTCATACTTCTTTCAAGGTCTATACCAGATTGAAAAAAGACTGTTTTTCAGTTTTCATATCCAATTAAAACTGAGCCACCTGTTTTTTAATAGTTCACTCATGCACACGCCTCGCTTACTATTTACGTTAACAGATTTTTCTTTTGTACGTAGAATTACGCTGTGACTTTCTCGAACGAAACCAAACCTTCACTAAGAGGAAGCAAAAGTTAAAGCGAGTAGTTTTATTATCAGTTCTTTGAAAATCGAAAACAAGCCTTGATGATACATCTATATTGAGATACAAGGTAAAAGTACCGTCCTTAAGCTTTAAGGGCATTAAATTGATCGGGACGGTTAACCGTGGTCGAGATCACCTTATAACATTGCTGAATTCACGCTAGACACACTACAGTTACATGTGCTTGAAATAACAATATCAAAAAATAATGAAGCCTTGACTTTGCTTTGTTCTGTTGTAAAGCACGCTGGAAGCGGCTTGAGCAAGAAAGAAGAGTAGGGGGAAAGATGACACGTAGTCAAGTGTTTCTTATTACTTCTTGAGTTTTTTGTCCTGTTATGAACACGAAGCGATATACACTATACGAGTATACGAGTGTTAGCAATGTTGAGTTTTATTTACCTACGTCATGTTACAATATCACTGAGTGTGAAAACCTCTAAAACTCGCACAGTCCATTTCTCTTTTCGTCTCTGTTCACGTTACACGAACGTCAATTATCGAGGTTGGCATGTTTACAAACCTTTCTTTAGTTCTTCCGTTGCTACTGGCTCGCTCGCTTGTTTTGAAATTTCCTTTCAATTAACAAAAAGAAAAAGCTAAAGTAACGCCCGGAAAATGGTAGGACATTGTACAAATTGGCAGATGGCGTGACCATTTTATTTGAGCTCTGATAAAACACGCTCAACCAACCAATGACAGCACGTGTTATATCCGAACTTTATAATAAATTCAAGAAAATCGGACCTAAAAAAAATTAAATATAAAGAATTTGGAAAGACCGAAAAAATATGCACAGGTTAACAATTTGACATTGACGTAGTTTTAATTGCATTTAAATAACTGATAAGCATTATACCTACATGCACTATGTTTGCTATTTATATAACTGAATAGTTGATAATGTCTGAAAAATTTTTTGGAAATAATTCATGGATATCAAAGAATACTGAAACCTTCTGAAAAGCGATGAAACCCTTTTCTGATGACATATATATCGATATGTCTGTCACTGTCATTATTTGAACCGGAATCAGGGAAAGTACCATATTTTATGTTAGAAGGAATATTAACAATAAGGCTACAGTGGGCCGCACTTGAAGCTAAGAAAAATTACAATTGACACTAACCAACGTAGGTTCTGTTGGCTGGAAATAGCACGTTTGAATTCTTCGATGGCTGAGAAATTTTAAAGCTACCTCTCACCTTCCGTATTTCATAGAGTTCACATAAAAAATAGTTACATCTGAAATATCTTTTTATAGCTATGGACTCAAACAGAATTATTGCCATACTATCCATCAACCATCTACATCTAAACTTTTTTTTATATTTTTTATTTATATCAAAATAAGTTAATTGAAATGAGCAAGCTTATGGTCCCATTTCTCGGAGCCCATAACAACATTAAAACTTAACTTTGCTTGTCAGATATCAAATGGCTTCGCTGTAGATTTGTTAGTTTACTACCATATAAAGAAAAACACACAAAACTGTTTTTTTTTTTTTTTTTTTTGTTTTTTTTTTGTTTTTTGCAAAAAAGGGAAAGTTGTGTGCTACCTTGTTCCATTTCAAACAATGAAACAAAGTTTATTTGAAGTTGGGGTGATATCAGCTCGGTAATTATGATTACATTTGCCTGAGGCAGCACATTAATGTTGCCTATGTCTGGCAAATCTATTGCCGGAAACTCAGTCATCTTTGACTGAATAGAGAAATAATATTGATGGCTATATCAATTTACAACCGTTTACAAGACAAGGATGAAATGTCTGGTTATACCAATTTCGCCACAGTCAGGTATTATTTTGAAGCCCGTGTTTTAACAGGCTATAAAGCCTGTATTTTTTACTTCGTCTTGTGCTTGCGCTTGTGCTTGCATCGATCCCGTTTCCTGGTGAAATAGGAGATGTTATACTTCAATTTGTGCGTGTGTCGCAAGTGTAAACTAGAGTGAGGCCCAATACAACAATGAAGAGATAAAAATAAATCTGTATCCGGAAATTCACATATATTGTAAACTTTCCACTGGTAAGATATTTATTCATCGAAAACTATTTATCTTAAAAAGACTATGATTGACATAAATTTAAACTGATAAGTCACCCAGAGGGTTTTGGATTTTATCGCGCTGTAAAGGGGAAGGAGATCAGACAATAACGACCAAATTTTTCAAAACTACCAGCAATGAGACCAAAGTTCCCATAACTTTATTTCAAGGAGTTTATAGCAATAAATTGGAAGAACATTAAATCCAAGAATTTTTCGGAAAATCTGATTTAATGGGAAATTTAAGTCTTAAGTGAGTAATAAACGAGGCTTCATAAGTTGGAGTTCTCAACGATCCCATTTACCGTGCGAGATTTGAGTTTGCATTCGAAAGTTTTGTAAGATGAAAGCATTTCAAGTGATTTTTGAAGATTTTGACGAAGACTCAATAGGAGATTTAGTTTAGCCAGAGGAAATGGAAACCGTCGATGCGATAGAAAATTAACTAACTATGAGCTAATAGCAGCTCAACAGTTGTTGTCTATCGATTCTGCTGCTCTTTATATGTCATAACAGGTGGTAATTAGATGTCTAGTAGGATTTAAAGAAGTTTTTTATTTAGATGAAATTTTCACAGCTAACCTTTTTCAGATGAAACTGTCTTCCAGCTTTGAAAATTAATCGTACGCAGTCAGCCAACGATCCCTTCAATGGTAAACCAATAATCCTCGCCACGAAGATTGCATTTTCCCCCAACAACTCCCCGGAGGGAATCTGCCCTTTTCTTTAATCTGTTATGTTAATTCTTATCGTTGTGGCTTGCGAACCAAACCAAATTTTCTAGGGACTATTCACAATATGCTTTGGAAAAGTCCGTCCGCTCCAACAGTTTTGATACTTGAGACGGACGTGGCTGGAGGGGCATTAAGTGCGCTTCAGGCCATAATTAGGCTTTTGCTTTATCACTTTGAGTTCAATGAGCCATTCCGGTTACTGAGAACATAAAAAAGACTGCCAGATGCTTTTCTACATGAATGGTTTACATAGAGGATAATGGTGGCAAAAGCGTACTTTCCCCCCAGAAGAATGTAAATAGAATTCGTCGTAAGTTAGAATGTTATAGAACGTTTTATAATATCCATTGCTTCGTTCTTTTTTCTTAGTCACTCGCCTTTCTCGCCTTTCTCGCCTTGTCATCTAATGCCGGCATTGGCTCGTTATTTCTTTGTTGTTTATATTAAGTATAAACGCCAAAAGTTGTCTCTTTTCACTTTTAAATAAAGCAAAGAAGTGGACTTATTGTCATTGGGAATGATACGTTTACGTGATTCACTGTTGTTTGTACACGAGTGCATCTGTACCATGGGTTTACTCAAATAGTCAAACATGGTATATTCTCAACTTCCAGTAATAATTGGGAACCTGCGGCTGAAATTATACTCTTAGGAAAGTTTTAATTTTTTTATTCAAATAATTTTCCTTGTATGCCTTCTTCTTTAGCACCACGGTATCGGACGCGACAAGAAATTTCAATTGAACGTTTTCTTTCACATTCTAGCTTGATGCAAATTATATTTGCTTTTTCTAATTTCAAGTAGTCTTTGTTCCCTACTTTTGATCTCGGAAACTTCCTGGTGTTGACTTGTTGATTCCTTTTCCAGATTATAATGATTTCCGCCTATATTGCTTGTTGGATTATACCGCACGAGGGTTTCGTGCTTTTTGCGCGCTGTGATCGGTCAGCTCGGAGTTTTTTTACTGAAGATTCATAATGGATAGTCCTAGGAGATTGGTGAATGCTCCACGACAATTCGCACCCAATTCGTTGAATAGCTGTATAGTATTAGATTTCCTGTAAAAGAAAGTACATAGCAAGGAATGCTTTGTAAGCATCAGCTATTGCAAAATGTTATTGATTTAGAAGATTACGAAGAGTGAGAAGAATAAATACTGGATGAAACGAGATCCCTTTCATCCGTCCCGACATCTTTTAAGAAGACCTTTGAAACAGATTTCCGAGTGCTAGGAAATCGTGACGATTTCCTTTCACACGAGCTAAGTGCTGCCTTAGCGAGCTATTTCCCTTCCTCGAGAGTTCCCACAGAAGTCCAAGAGTGT